TCTGATACAGCGCACATAAACTTTTTTCCTGCTTGACATAATGAAGAACACATTTCATCAAAGAACAATGACCTTAAATGAGACTCTTGCTCAACACTGCTTTTCAACTGCAGCTATTCATATTATCACTCTTACAGTGTTTGTGTCGTTGGTTGGAACATCTGTGAAATTCTGTCATTTTTTCAGAGATCCACACTCTGATAAGAGAATTACATAAATACAGAGCAGAATGAGCATTGTTATAATGTTTCGCTTTGCTGCAATAAAAGAAATTATAAACCTGGTTATGCTCCTTTTGCTTTTAGGAGCTTGAATCTGCAGGGGAAAAGAAAACCAACAAGAACCAAATTTCTGCTCTGGGAACACTGTCACGGCCAGGACTTTGATTAAAATGACAAGAGCTGTTTTATGGCTAAGTTGCATTAGTTGCATTTGCAGAGAGAAGAGAAGCACAGGGAGAAGGATGACAACTCTCCTGAAACCCATCTCTCCTTCCCCCACCGATCTCACCTGATATTTCATGTCCCAGCTGGTAGCTGGAATTGCAACACCTGTAGTGTTCAGATGTTGTGCAATGAGTCGCAACAAATTGTGTTTGTCAAGGCACTATCTACACAAGGGTGTTTTCCAGGCAGATCCTACTAGTTCATCCTCACTAGCATGTGACCTCAATACTCATTCTGCACACCTGACATGACCCACTTGTGGTCAGTTATCAGGCAACAAAACCCATGTCAACAGGGATTTGGTGAGACTAACTTAGCTTCCAACTGCTAGTTGTTCAAGGTTTATTGAGTGTTGTGTCTTTAATTAGGGAACTGAGGTGCAAACTGCAGTGTCCTTTGCAAAGTCAGACCTGGGGGAATAATTTCAGGAGTCAATTGCCGATGCTGGATAGTAATTGGAAACCCAAAGGGATTCACATATGAATAGTAAATTAAGGTGCACAGTAGTAACCAGAATTTATACCTGGAACATCAGAGTTGTTAATGACCCCATTAAAAGGAATTAGGTCATTTCTTATTTAAAGGATCAGGAGATACTGCATTTTCTAAGGATACAAAGAATGCATATGAGCAAGACACGAGGGCTTTTCTGTTGAAAGTTGGTAAGTGCTGCCATTCAGAATTAGTGTCATGGTTTGATATTGGTCAAACACCAGACAGCCATAAAAGTCATTCACTCACCCTGTTCTGTTATAGTTGGGCAGAGGAGAGAGGAAAAAATTAACAAAGGGATCATGAGTTGAGATAAGGCTTGGGAGAAAAATCCTCTAAGGGCAAACCAGGTTCAAATTTAAAGGTATAAGACAAATATATAATTAACAGAGTCAGAGGAAGATAATAAGTAAAGTAAAATAAGTAAAGTAAAATAAGTAAAGTAAAGTAAGTAAGTAAAATAATCCTTTAAAACACCTTTTTTCCTCCTCAGCCCCTCCCTCCTTCCCACTGACAGTGCAGGAAGACGGGGCGGGGTTTTGGTCAGCTCATCACCTGAGATCTTCTGTTCACTCAGGGAGAGGAGCCTCTTCTCTGCCTTGCCGTGGGGTCCCTCCCACCAGCAAACAGTCTTCCTAAAATTGCTGTGGCGTGGGTCACTCGTCCACAGGGTGCAGCCCTCTAAGGACAGGCTGCTCTAGTTTGGAAGTAGCCTCTGGAAGCAGTGTCCCTCCCTCTCTGGGTCTCCCATGGATCACAGCCCCCTCCAACATCCCCCCACTCCAGCATGACCACTTTCTCCACGGGCTGCGAGTGGATCTCTGTATCCCCCATGGACTTCATGCATTACAGGGGGACAGATGGTGTCACCAAGGTCCTCATCTCGGGTCTGACACTTGGAGCATCTTCTCCCCCTCAAGGCATCACTGACCTTGTTGCCACCATGTTGTTTTCTCTCACATGTCCTCACTTCCTCCTCTTCCTCCTCTTCTCTGATTAGAAGAAAAACTGCTCCTTGTAGGTACCATTGTCAACAAGTTGTACCAGTTCAAAGATTCCTGCAGGATCCCACAGTGCCGAGAGGTTGGTTCCACGCTGGGGAGTCACTCGTTGTGTCTCCGCTGCCAGCCAGGTGACCCTGCCTCCATCGCACGGGTGGTGATGGCTGCCCTGGTGCTGGCACTGCTCAACGCCTCTCTCCATGTGGGGTCTGGGACGGGAAAGCTGCCACCACCTCTGTCCTTCTGCCCATGGCGTGGCTGGCTGGGGGCGGCCAGGCAGGCAGGGCCCACCCTGGGCCACTTCCAGATGGCAGTGGCCACGGCTCATCGCCACCACTGGAGAAAACTGTGCACATGCTACTTTGCTTTTCTTCTTAAATATGTCATCACCAACCTCTCTAATTGTGCTGGCAGCATGTCCATCTTCAGAGACATCAGAGATTGCCTCTTTCAGGCATGGTGGAAACTTCTAGCAGGTGCTGACTGCCTAAACAGAGTGAAGTTAGGCAAAATTATTTCTTTTATGTCTTATTTTGTAACTTGTATACATGCCTGAGTTTTGCAGAGCAGAGCTGGTGAGAGGGTAGGATTTACAGCAAAGAGGTTAAGAGAATTTGAATTTTCAGGTGTTCTGGCTGGAGAGTCAGATGGGACAGCACTTTCTAGAATTGGTAGGACAGACTCAGTTTTCTCTTGAAGAAATCTGAAGACTGAGAGCTCTTTTTTGGCTCATGGTATGAAAGTGAATGTAAAAGGCTGGAATAATCAATGAAGATAGGTGAATATACTGCATAGACACACTTTTCAGATTCCAACATTTTCAGAGGCCAGATTTGAGCACAAGATGTAGTGCCAAGTTTGCTCACATCTCAAGAGAGCACTGACATCACCATTTCTGTTCTGAAAGACATCTCCTTAAAAATTATGAAATCTATTTGTATTTAATCCTGACATAAAGGAGAACATATATTTGTGTAGCTTTGGTAAATATCATTGAATCTTAATGCCAGTTCCTACTTGTCACTTTTAAGACACAGTTTGGGGTTAGTTTCAAAACTCTTATCCAAGCCTCCTTCAAATCCAAATTCATGTGCTGGGCCACCTAACCCAACCCAGGCAAGATGTATTGAAAAAGTAAATCTTACTAGCATGAGTAAAAGCAATTAGATGTTTCATGACAATAGCATCATAAAACTGGCAAAAATAAAGAAATCTAGGTCTGTGCAGATCTTTGCTTCCTGGTTCCCCAGCCAGGATTATTAAGTGTTAGCCACAACTCTAATGCCTCAGCAAAGTAGCCCACTTAGTCATATAGAAGCTTGTCTGTGTGTTGGAAATAGTCAAACCATATTAAAGCTCTGGAAAATTAACATAAAAGAATGTCAGAATGTTCAAATCTTACACAGAATTATTAACAATTAAAGTTATTCACTTCACAAGAGAGAGGTGGAGTTTGTGATATTTTGGAGACAGTAACTTAAGCCTCCAACCTTTCCTTCTCAATTATAAACCTCACAGGCTGTTCAGATTTTTTTCAGAGCCTGTTTAGGCTGCCAGTTTTCCTTCAGAGCAAGGGCAGACAGCAGTGACTAGAGGCTATAGCAGGATCCTTTCTCTAAAGATGTAGGATATGGGATCTGTGGCACCCAGTCCTCTGAAGAAAGGGAACACCATTGCCATAAGAGGTATCTTGCATTTGATTACCTATAGTCAAAGTTAACTGTGCCCCTCAGCTGGCTAAGTGTAATAAAACATGTATAACTTCTTTTTTTTTTTTTTTTTTTTTTGCTCAAAGACACATGACCAGATTTCAGTAGAATTTTTTCTTCCCTAAAACTGCTTTTTCTACTCCAAGAAAGGTTAGCACTTGGCAGTATATTGCAAAATCATAACTTCTGCTCACACATAACAATGTGAGAAAAACCTGTACTGGTAAAGTCTAAAAGCTACAGACATTCCACATTATATATAGTGCCTTACAACTGGAGCACCATCTGATGAACTGTTATTTTGCTTCTGATACCTATTATTTTGCATTTAGAAGAAATTCAATACAACAAGGAAATAAGCCTGATTTTGTGTGGACTTGTGCCATATACTTCTGCAATGCATTAACAATAATAACTTTCTTTCCCTCTACTCTTTACATAGCACATCTTTCAGATTCTCTCTACATTCCTGAAATACCCACTTCACTCCCTCTACTATTAAAATGGCTCTACGTGTTTTGAAGTTACCTAGATGATAACACCTCAAGGCCAGACAGACAAAAAGATAGTGGTTGAGGTTCACTTTTTCTCTGCTGTCAGTGGAGAAACCAATTACAAATTTTCCTATAGCAAACTTTCAGTTTTCCACAGGGTTTTTATACACTCAGTTATTTTTGAGGAATCTGTCTCTATCAAAATTATTTGAGTACATTCTCAAACTATCAGAGAGAAGGTAGTTGAAAAAGTGATCATTTAAGCTTTTCCTTCAGAAGCCAGGGATAATTTTCGTTTATCTGGTTTTTATTGAGTAAACTGTGCCATTAATGATTCTGCAACTGCAATTAAATGGTCCTGGTAATTTATGGTATTTTGGTTAGTCCTAACATCATGGTGTTACCATTTATGTTATTAATTCCCAGCCTTTTAAACAGATAATATGCTGAGACTGGTTTTTTATGCTATAAGCTTGTTAACTTCCATGGCAGAGGAGAGGCAACCCAAATGTTCAAGCCTGGTTATGAGTGGAAGTTTTGTATTTGGGTGCCTGCATCCAAGAGTTCATAGTTTCTTCTTTCTGACAACAGTCTCTCCTGATCAACTTTTTCCCAAGGAGTGTTTCTAAATTGTTTTAGTTATCATCCTAGAAATAAAATACAACTAAGCTGAACATACCTTCCAGTATTGGTCTCACCTACTACTTCCTGATTTTTCCATTTGTATTTCATCTGAGCAGGGCAGAAAACAATCAGATGAGGTATTGGCTTTGTTCTCATTGTTCTCAGCATGTTTTTCTATCACCTTTATCTCAAGAATCATATGCTTGATCTTAATTCTTTATTCTTTATTTCTAGAAACTACATTGGCTTCTCTGACTGTGACAGAGCTCTGTGTGTGTATACAGGTGACAACCCACAAACTGTCATTACAGTAAGTAGTGTTCTACCTAAAAATAATACATCTGCCTACATGGAAAGGTCTAAGAAAATATGACTGAAAGGTCTTATACCAGATTCCAATAATGAAATTCTGTTCAGTCTAATATCCCCACAGTGCTTTGACTGCAATTTTCCCTGCAAGCTCATCTGTTTAATAATCATGGAAGCATAGAATCATAGTATGGTTTGCATTGGAAGAGACTATACACCCAGTGCAAAACCCCCTGTCATGGGTATGGACATATTTCACTAGATCTGATTGCTCGAAGCTCCATCCAGCCTGGCCTTGAACACTTCCAGGAATGGGGCAGTAACTTCTCTGGGCAACCTGTTCCAGTTCCTAACCACCCTCTTAGTAAACAATTTCTTCCTAATATACAATCTGAACCTGCTCTCAGTTTAAAGCCATTTCCCCTTGTCCTGTCACTACATGCCCTTGTAAAAAGTCCCTCTTCAACTCTCTTGTAACTTCCTTAGGTACTGTAAAGGTCCTTCCACAGCCTTCTCCTCTTCAGGCTGAATAAACTCAACAGTTCAGCCTTTCTTCACTGGGGAGGTGTTCCAGCCCTCTGATCATCTTTGTGACCTTCCACTGGACCACATCAAGATGGTCCATATCCTTCTTATTTTGGTGACCTCAGTGCTGATGCAGCACTTTAGGTGGGGTCTCAGCAGAGCAGAGCAGAAGGGCAGAATCCCCTCCCTGGCCCTGCTGCCCACCCTGCTCTGGATGCAGCCCAGGACATGTGTGGCTCTCTGGGCTGTGAATGTACATTGTTAGGTCATGGTGAGCTTCTTGTGCAGCAGTATCCACAAATCCTCCTCACCTGTATGGCTCTCAATCCATTCTTTGACCAGCCTGTGTCCATGTCTGGAATTGCCCTGACCCAGATGCAGGACCACAATTTGACCCTGTTGAACTTCCAGGCCCACCTCTCCAGGCTGCCCAGGCTCCTTGTGGTAGCACCCCTGCCCTCCAGCACCAATTTTGATCCAAATCAATTGTTCTTTCAGACATAACTGCATGTAAAGTTTCATTAACAGCACATTTCTCCTGCATTCATCCAAACAAATTTAAAAATATGTTAGACTACACCGCCTCTGGAAACCACAAGGTTACCCAGAGATAGCATTGCCAGCGGTGAAGAAGAACAAGCCAAATGAGAGTGAGGAAAGCTGGTGGTGGTCGAGGAGGTCAGCTGCACAGATTGCAGACACAAGCTGATTGCTGTGGGCTGTGGATGGAGACGCTGTGGTTTGTAAGATAAAAGAAAGGGAAGTTGCAGTAACTTCACATTTTCAGCTCAGACACATGGCCTTCTTTTCTCTCCTCCATTCTTAGGAGACAGCAATAGAAGGTGATTTTTCTGTGTCAATTCCCTGTCCTTTAGGCAGGTTTTAAAGGAATTTTCTGATCCCTACCAGTTGCAACAGACCTGGGAGTGACAACATTCACTATGAGGATAACCACAGCTCGTCCTGGAAAGGGAGAATTAAAAGTGCAAATCCACTCACACCTGCAAAAGAAATGAGGGACCAACCTCACTGTTCTCAGGAGACTGGGAGACCATGCAACTGTAATTTGCATTGCCCAGAGCAATCAAGTAATAGGTTGGAGCAGGACCCTCAGCTTCTCTGGAGTTTTGTTCATGGAGCCTCATCACATTTTCTATCCATGTCTAATATTATAAAACCCCTGAATCTGAAAAATCTTTACTAAGATAAAGGTAGATAGTATGAGGAACAAAAACTTTCAGTCCTGCCATTTAACTCCCAAATTCTCCTTAACTTTGAACAGTGAATTCTCAAAACTTAAACTGTGTAAATAAACAGAAAGAAATGCACCATGTTGACCAGGATTCATGCCTGTAAATCTTTCTACCTTAGGGTAGAATGGCTTTACCTAAAACTTTACACTGCTTTCATTTCTTAGACTTCCCCTCAAGATGAGCACATTTTCATTATGTTCTAACAAGCAATGGTAGAAAAAATAAAAAGAGTAAACAAACTACCTCCTTGCCCAAAATGCATGAACACTATTTTTTGGGATTAGAATGCTTGCATAGGACTCTTAAGGAAAAAGCACATTTTACATCTATAATTTTATTCTATGGAAATCCAGCTGAACTAATAGGGTAACTGGCATCAGCAAAAGGGCAGCAAGCAACTTTTAATATTCTTGTCAATGTGAATTGTGCTGGGTTTGCAGTGCTGGGAATCCAGCAGTGTCTCCACTGCTTCTGATCCAGCTTGGCAAAAATCAACCAACCAACCCAACAACCTAATACCACTAGAGCAGATTATTCCAGAGTCTCTAGCGTGCCTGAGAAAGAACTGAGGACTTTCCTAAGGACTGTCTCACAGCAGACATTACCTACACATTAATTCCTTCACACTGGCTTCTCCACATGTTCCTTCCCAGACAAATAATTACTAGCGGCAATAATGGAAAAAAATTTTAAAACGCAAAAATAATTTTTAAAAAAATGCAAAGCACAAAGGGACCAAATGCAGGCACTCATTTTTTTTTTTTTTCTGTGCTAGCAATGCAAGTCAGTTCTTCAAGTATTCATGAGACACTTGTAGTGACAGACAAAAGCTGGTATTACACAGTCTCTGTCGACAACAGTCTTGATGTTCTAATGACTTGATCATTCTCATTATGCATGCATTTTCTGTTTGCTGTAATCTATAAGCAAGCATCAAAAGTGCCAGTAGCATACTGCTTAAGAATTTCAGTGAAGCATTAAAAAGCAGAGCAGCAGAATATATCTTTAATTTGTCTTGAATGGCAGACTATCAGAATCTTCTTTCTTTTTTTCCTCCTGTTGCTTTCTTTTTAGGTAATTTAATCTGCTTAATAATTACCCTCTCTGTGAAGTTTCCACAACTTTAATTTTAGCAACAAAGCAGCATTAAATGGTTTGGTTGGAAGGGACTCTTTGTCAGTTGATAACTAATTGTAGAGCAAAAAGATACAGACAGCAGTTAATCAAGATTACTTGATGAGACATTTAAGAATGTTCACTACACCATACTATATGCAGGGTGAATCTTATTTATAGCATAAAGTAATTTCAGTACTAATATAATTTTGGATCAGATGTACACTATTATGCTTTTTTTATTAATTAAATAGTAACTTTTTAGCTCACGAGATCTGCTGCTACTTCTGTGGTTATCTTTTCAGGGAAGAAAAGATGTTAACAAATGGTACCACAAAACACCAGCTGGGATTTGACTTTAGGACTTTTCAAATTTTAAGAAAATTTGGAACTTCAAGGCCCAATCATGCTGGTGTTTTATTAGAGGTGCATTAAGCAGGAAGAACACATTTGCTGTGAGTAGAGAATTTCATAGCACTTTTCCATGATTTTCATGAGAACTCAGTCTTTGTTGCCTGGAACATTGTGATAAAGTGCATTTTCATATACTGCAGTGCCATTACCAGAAATACTACAGCCCTTTCCAAAGAAAATACTTTCAGAAGATATATTAGGAATTGAGGGACTTGGCAGATGGTGAACTGTGTGTTTAGGCTTATATCATCCAAAACACACTGTAGTAAGTAGAGCACCAAAACTGGCTGTGAAAACAAGTGCCTTCACCTCTGAGATTATGGCCCAATGAAAAGTTAATCTTTCTTTTATTTTTTAATCAAATATTTCCTTTCATTAAACTTGCTTTTTCTATGCTTTCTTCTCCTTACATCACCATCTGAGGGTTCAAAAAATGAAGGATCCATGCTGAGAACATTAAAAAGAAAGGACATGTAAAAGTTATGCTCATCTGAGAGATTAATCTGTGCTATTTTTCATGTTAGCTGTGCCCTCCAGTCATGGTGTCCAGCACAGTAAATGACAATGCAATTGGCTTTTCTCTTTTTATTGAGTCCGTTACTGAAGGATGATAGCCCATCAAAACAATTTTTTGATTCTGTGATAATCATAGAATATCCTGACTAAGAAGGAACCCACAAGAATCAGTAAGTCCAGCTCCTGGCCCTGCACAGGACACCCCAAGAATCACACCATGTCCCCAAGAGCATTTTCCAAATGCTTCTTCAGTTCTGTCAGGCTTGGTGCTGTGACCACTTCCCTGGCGAGCCTCTACCAATGCTCAGCCACCCTCTGGTTGAGGAACCTTTCCCTAATATCCAACCTAAACCTCCCCTGACACAAATTCAGGCCATTACCTCAGGTCTTATCATTGATCTCTCCAGAGAAGAGATCAGTGCCTGCCCCTCACAAGAAGAAGATGTAGACTGCAATGAAGTCTCCCCTCAGTGTCCTCCAGGCTGAACAGACCAGGTGGCCTCAGCTGCTCCTCATACAGCTTCCCCTCAAGGCCTTTCACCATCCTCATGGCCCTCCTTTGGACACTCTCTAGCCTTACATTAGGCTGTTGTGGCACCCAGAACTGCCCCAGCACTCGAGGTGAGGCTGCCCCAGTGCAGAGCAGACTGGGACAACAGTGCTGTGCCTGATGTCCCCAGGACACGGCTGGCCCTCCTGGCTGCCAGGGCACTGCTGACCATGTTCAACTTGCCATCAGCCAGGACCCTCGAGACCCTTTCTGTGGTACTGCTTTCCAGCATCTGATTTCTCCATCTATCTGCACATTTAGAGCTGCCCCATCCCCAGTGCAGAAGTGGGCATTTGTCCTTGTTACACTTCATTCAGTTGGTGATTGTCCAGCCCTTTAATTTGTCAAAGTCTCTCTGAAGGGCTTCTCTGCCTTCAATGGAGTCCACAGGTCCTCCACATTTGGTATAATTCTCTATCTGTCATTGCACTACCCATGCACATCAAGAATAGCCACGTTTGTGGGGCAGCCAGCATCTGCTCAGGACAGGGCCAAACAGTCTGACCCATTTAAAGCATTTCTAGTTGTTCCATGAATATACTTAAAATAAAATTTCTTTAATATACTTCATAAAAAGTTCCAGAAGATCTTGGAAAATAACAATTTCCTACAGAATTTACTTTTAAA